ATTTTAGTGTCGGATTCCCCATGATTACTATTATATGGAGTGTGCGAAATAAATTTTCCGCTTCACTTGTGATACCAGTTGCTCTCGGGCGTATTTTTGCTTTTCAAAATGCAATTGGGGGACAGCTATAATTGAAATTCCACTCGGTAAATAATAAAGGAACTTAATTAAATGAGTTGATTGATTTGTGCAGAGAAAATGCTATTTAAATAGAGTGTTAAACATTTAAAAAAAAAACAACAAAAAAATATGCAACTTTTATATAATACGTATTAAATATCGATATTTTGATCAATAAGTCAAGCTTTAGGTATTTCTATAATATTGATTGCATATTTGCATATGCATATTGCATATTACCTATATTGCATTATCGAGAAGTCAGAAAATACAAATCATCTATTTTTCTTTGCATTAAGAATATTGCTCAGAATGGGCCTGCACTTTTATTCATGATTAAAAATATTGTGCAACTTTACTTTTTATATATTAGTTCATATCTTTGAAATCAATTTCAACCAGTCGCTTAATTTCGTTTATTGAGTTTTTTTTATCATTGAAGGTATTATACCAAATTTCACAAAATTTGAGAACTGTGATGTACCATTATTTATTTAAATAACTTTTAAAAATAAAAATATGTTTTTATATGTTATATCTAAAGTCTGCATGTAATTTGCTGGTACACTCGGAGAATATTTAAATTTTGAAAATATTAGCTTATTTTATTTGTTTAGAGTTTTGTAATTTGAACCTTAAGTTTGTTTTACAAACGTTGTTAATCTATTTGCTCCTGGTTGATAATACATAACTAGCTGTAAGTGGAATTCTGTCTTAAGGCAATTAAGGCATCGTGCCTTGAGGCAAATTGCTGGAACTTCCCGTACCAAAAATTATTATTTTTTTAAAAACGATTAACATTTTTGAAAAAAAAAATTACTTTGAAAAAATAAGATTTTGAGAAACTATAAATTGGACAAAAAATTACTATTTTTTGAAAAAAATTTTTTTTTTTAAAAAATTTTTTTTTTAATTTTTTTTTTTTTTTTTTTTTTTTTGAAAATTTTTTTTTTTTTATTTTGACATATTGTGGAAGATCTGAACTTTCTTTTCAAATCAATCGTACTGCTTTAACTGCATAAAGACGAAATATCAAACCGCGTAAGCGCCGCGTCGACGTCTAACGCGTAAACATTGGTACGGAACCCATAGGAATGTAAACCAAAATTATACTTATTGTTAAAATCTCTATAAAATATCTGATAATTTGATGTGCATATGTCTAATAATCATTTTTGACCGCCAAATGGCTCATTTTTTTACTTTTTCCTCCATATCTCCGAAACCGCTAGACCTACCTTTATGAAAATTTTATCGATTCTTCATCTTGTCAATACAAGTGAAATGTTTTTTGAATTATTCAAATCGGACGCTCCGTTCTCTCAAAAACTGAGTTACCGTTTTCGGCACTTTTTGCCCCGTATCTTCGGAACGGCTAGACCTGCCTTCGCCAAAAACTAATCAGCACGTCTCCTTATCAATACGAATCGAATGTTTTTTGAATTATTCAAATCGGTTGACCCATGTTCCCGAAATCGTCGACGAAAATTTGTATCCGCACATACATACACACACGTACATACATACATACATACACACACACATACACACACACACACACACACACACACACATACATCCATTTTTTCTAAGGTATGCCAAAATGTTCAGAAACCTCTGAAACGTAAAGATATATAAAAATTTTCATTTTCGATTTTTTTGCGATTACTATAACTTACCCTACGGGAAGTTAATTAGTAGTACAAATTAATATGCGCTTATTAATCTGATATTTATAAATTTATATAGTATATAACATGGAATTTTTATGTATTCAACTAACATTAATTTAATCTTTTTGTTTCTACATTGCAATGTTATCTGTGCATTCCTCAAGTCTCAGATTACTTATGCGTTTTAATGCCAGTATAGTAATTTTTGTGCAATCAAATTCATTTGGAATTTGTAGCAGTCGTAAAATACATAAAAAAATTAAATTCATCTATAAGTTCTATATGTATTATATTCTATATTATCTTATCATTTTCAATAATAATATTGTAAGGATTTATATTAATGAAAATTTCTTTGGACTAACGAAAGAGTTTTTCCCGATTGGCTAGAAACAAGCCCGCCTTCATTCTAGATTTATTAAGATAAAACATATGCTATATTAAGATGAATATTACATTAAATTTTGCAAGAACTTCTGCTCATACATATGATTTCCTACATATAATTTTGGGTACTATACAAGTAAACCCATCCACAACTTTCTATTTAATAGTTTTGCCTCAATCCTCAATTTTACAAAATAGTAATTCAATACCCATAAACTTTGTTCAATTGTTCACATTGTATTTTTTACTTTTACAAAGCTATCAATTCGTCTATTATTTCTACTAGTCTGCACATGTGTTGTTCAGTAATTTGATCTTCTAAATAAAAACGTTAACCTCTTTCTCCGCGGTCATTGTGAATGTTAATTGATCTGAACCCATTCATATGATTATTTTATCCAATCGCTAACAAAAAAACATCTTCTCACGTATCGAAGGAAACTGTCCGCCATTGTGGAAAATTGAGTACGGAAAACACATTTTGTGAACAAACATACAAGAAACATAATCTGGCGATAAAATAATGAAATTTATACATTTATTTTGCGAAATAGTCAATTTGGGTTTTTCTTTAGAAAAACAAAGACAACAGAGCTTTTGAAGAAGCCCTTGTGATGGAAAATTCTTCGCAAATTGCGTTTTCCACACGAACATAAGGATATTAAGTATAATCTGATATGCAAAGAATAGAATTTATGAATTTATTCTGCAAAATAGTCAATTCTCTTTATTGCCTTAAAAAAATAGAGCCCTTGAATCGAAACAGGTTTTTCAAGTTTGAACATAGTAATTAATTTTAAACTATCTATGAATTTATTACATCAAAAAGTATATTTTCTCGAATCAAATTTGTCAAAATTTAGAACAAAATCAGCATTTGAGATTATCGATTTTTCACGAACTTGAATTTGGCATTATTCGACATCCGAAACTGCGCAAAATCCTTTATATGAAAATGATAGGCCTATATGTTTTTCACAATAATTTCCATGCTTTAGAACAAATATTTATATAAATTTGGATAAGATTTGAACACAATTTTAGCTTGAAACAAACTTTTTGCCACATGTGATTACAACAAACTTGGGAACTGAACTTGATGATAATTCTGGATAACTAAACTAAAATTTTGTGGTACACATAAACTAATAGAACAGATTTTGATACATGGTATCCGGTTAAACAATTCACTTTAACACTTATAATAACAATTTGACACTATTGAAACGAAACCTTGACTCGACACTCACATAAATTCAATCCGGCTGGATCAGGTGCAACAATAAAATCTAGTATTCACTCATCACTTTTGCTGGGTGTTTTGCAGATTGCACAAATGCAAAGGAAACAAAATTCTGTTTCGATTTGATTTTGTGTTTTTTTTCCTATAAAAAACTGATTTTTTTCCAATGGGAGCTCAAAATTACGGATGTTACGTAGAGCGACTACCGCGTAAAACTGTGACCATGATTTCAGCCGCGCTCTAAGGCAAAGCTTCGGGCCAGCGCAATGCAAGAACGGTAGGGGACTCGGTTGTTGCTTGCCATTTTCATAAATATTAGATGAAAACAATGCAAATGCGAGGATAATGAACAATTTCAAGCTTTATGATAGAGGATCATTTTAAATAAAGAGGGGTTTTGATATTGCTATAACTAACATCAGTGGTTCCCAAGATAAATATAACAGACTGTATGATTATATTGATTGTTTTTACTTCAGCTTGGGGGGCGTCCATTAATCACGTGATCGATGATTTGAGGATTTTTGGTGATACGTGGTGATATTCAAAATTACGCCCTCCTCCTCCACCAAACATCACGTGTATTTTTAGTTTTGAGAAAAATTCTAAAATTTTTGAATTTTTTTTTTTTGAAAATGTTTGGTTTTTTTAAATTCAGGTAAAAAATAAATACACGTGATATTTCACTATACCCCTCAATCTCCCACATAATATTTTGTGATTTTTATTACCCCCCCCCCTCCCTTTAAAAACCTCACGTGATTGATGGACGCCCTTTGTTTGTTATGTCATTTAGGGTCCATCATCAAGTAATCACATACAGCTTGCCATCAATCATATTTGGGGGTTGAATTGACAATTCAGGGCGTGATTTCGAAATAAAAAATTGAAAAACCATGATTTATTTATTTATTATTTATGATTTGATATTTGAGTTGATGCACAAGTCACAATTTTCATGGTCTCTGTCTAAAGCCTATTTTCTAAATTTGTCTCAGTGCACTTGCGACAGTAACCTACATCTAAACACTGCAAATTTATTTAGAAACATCTTTAAATAGTACATATAACTACCCAGTAAACCACAAAACGTAATGAAAACGTTAATAGAACGTAACAGATTATACGTAAAACATAACGGTTACGTAACCTAAGAGGCACACAGACGTATCTATTTCCGCCTCAAAAACGTAACGGCCTGTTTAGTTACGCGAAAACATAACGGTTTCGTTTATGTAACGTTTCCAAATTGCGCGAAAACGTAACGGTTTCGTTTTTGTTAGGTTTCTAAATTACTAAATTAACGTGTAGGTGTCTTTGATGTAACTTAAAAATTTAATAAAATTTCCTGTAAATATAGAAACCATTTTTTATATTAATTTTATTTCATATTATAATTAAGAATTTACAAAATTTACATAACATATACTTAAAATTACAAAACTACAGAATATAAATTTGGATTTTAAAAATTTGATTAATCTAAAACAAAAAATAACAATTCTAACAAATTTCTATTTAACAGGATGGAATTAAATGTTTTATTTTGATTATAAAATTTTAACCATTGAAAATAAGTCTTGTGTAAAATTCTTGGCAACCTTTGTTTATCAAATTGAAACCATTTCACTGCTTTCTGTTTGTAAATGTATCTAAAACAGAACCAAACAGGTTAGAAACAATTTCTACAAATTGTTTATTGATAATATTGATTTAAATTTTGTGTAACATTACCTCTAAAAATATTCATTATTTTCAAGTTATTGACAGCTAGGCAGTCCTTTCAACAATACCAAAAACATATTAATTCTTCATCGAATTACACTTTAGACAATAAAGAAGATTTTAGTCTCTGAATTTTTAAATATATTTTTGCTGAAGTAAAAACAATAGAAGGTTATGATTTGGAAATATTGTGATTATTATTATAAATTGTAACAATACTTCTAATTACCTCTATTTACTTTCATTATTTATTAAGAACAAAGTGCAGCTAATTCCTTTATGAACGTATTGCTCAAATATTGTCTTAATTGTTTCTTGTCAGTTCAGCCAAATTTCATCCACCGACTTTTAAATCATATTTTTGCTAAAACTAAATCATAAAAAATTAATACTAAATCATCTAATCATCTCTAACTATCATAATGGGGTATACCAATTCCATGACACATGACACGAGTGTCATCATTTAATGCTGTAAAAAATTTTATTCTTCTTCAAATCATTTTTTCGTGATGATGGTGGATTATTATTTTATATTCTAACTTTGCATTCATATTCTTTATTTGAGCAAATATCTTTATTATGTTCTGAGTCATTATATTTCTTCAATTGAAAACCATTGTATTAGTTTTTATTCCTGTTTAGCCGAACTATATTATTGTTACTGAAGGGGCTACAAATATTAAATTTGTATTTGTATATCTCATTTTTACTAACCTTTTGACTCAACATTGCAATAATCATTGAGGTTATGATTTTTTTGTAGAATTTAATTATTATTTGATAAACATACATTTGATGAAAACATCTACAAATAACAAAATACGCGAATAGAATTTCCATTAAGGTCCAACTATATACTGAAAAAAAAAATCATTATTATAATAATATATAAATTAAAATAATTTACACATGTTTTATATTTATACTTACCTTGATCGATTCCATTTTAAACATTTTAACTGCACACTGCATAACTAATACGTTCTACATTAATCATATAAAATATTAATCATATAAATAATGATTAAATAAATGCTTCAAAAGAATGAAATAATTTGCTTGTCAAAAGATCTTCAATATGAAGCGTCCATTAGAGCCATTAGTCATAGACAGAAAAGTAAAATATATAGAGTCACGAATAACTTTCAATTGTATTTTCGTGCATAGAGTCTCGCATACATAAAAGAGTAGAACACGTAACCTATCTTTTTGACAGTTTTGTGAAACAGCTGTACCACACCGTCCATTTTGTATGTTAAACTTACAAAACACTGTAACTGAACGGTTACGTTATGAAGAAAACCATGCATTAACGTTTAAAGGTTACAATTAAACGTAACATTTACGTTTTATTAACGTAACCATAAAATACATAACAACGTTTCTTCTGTGCTACGTTACTTTAACTTTATGTTACGTTTGTGGTTTACTGGGTATATATTGAAAGGAGTGCCAAAGAGTGCATTCAAATGTTTGAACTTGTACCGTGAAATAGCATTTAGTAAACATATTCTTGTAAAAACTGTATATTATTGTATTAAATATATAGATTTTAAATTTCATAAATAAAACATTTTGAAACATTTACTTCAGGCAAATATATTACTTCATTTTTAGTTTTATTTTTAATTTCATTGCATTGATATCGCCTTTTGATAATATAAGAGTATTACTTATGTTTATTCAATTATTTCCACATACACAATATGAGTAACTTAGTTTAAACTACTTATCATATTTATTGGTTGATCAATATATTTGCCCATATTCTACACATATCTAATAAAGTTTTTAAATTAAATTTATATAATCTTTTTCTGAAATTTAAAAATTTTCCAAACATTAAACAAATAATGACATGTATGTAGAAAAGCGATACAAAAACCACATAGTGATAAATATTAAATTATTTATAAATTTTTGTTTATACTTTTTTGATTAGTATTATGCATTATGAATTGCTATGGTATTTTATCATGCCTTAGCGTTGTTGATAAAATGGCTTTAGAACTTATAATTACAAATAATATTTCAAACAAATTATCCAGTGTTCAATTATAATGCTAATTTAAAGATATTCTTCGGTTTAACTAGTGATAATTTAACCTAGCAACTTGTCTATTTAGTTAAAATCATATCAATTGGTAAAGATATTTTTTACCACTGTTGATTTTCTCTACATGCCTACATTCATATTGACAATTGTCAAGTATTAGTACACAATGTATGGTCTAATATATCTCATACAATTGCATTCGTTTTACTCGTATTGTACAGAGTCTGATGACTGTTGATGTAATTAAGCACGAGAGCCCAAATGAATGCTTTATTGTGTGTATTTACTATGGGTTTTACACTTGCGTTTTGTTCCGTATATTGCATTTGCTTTCTAGGTTTAACCAGATAGGTTCTCTATCTTTTGTAGTGAATCATGAATGTTTACTCACATTGGTCTAATTTATTTAAAAGTGCTGATTCAGTTTACAAAAAAAATATTTTGTCGATTAGGAGATAAACAAAAAATCATTGATGAAGTAAAAGTTACTATAGTGGTGAAAGTTTGAATTCTTATCAAACCTTTTACATACACTTCATGTTCAGTTTTTGTTATTACTTCAATGATGTTGATGTAAATTCTTATTATTTAATACTTTAACATGACAAGTACTATATAGATTTTTTTCTCATAATTAATAATTTTATCATAAATTCCGAGTTGTTTGAAGTTTCCCATAAACTCTCAATTTTTTATGCAGATCATTATTAAACTAGATGCAGTTCAATTTTATTATTAGACAAATTTTTAAAGCTTTGAATTATTTGTTGCACATAATCGCACACAATCTTATAAAATTCCTGTATTAATCTTATGTGAAAAATCTAATTTAATAATAGTCGGTCTTAGAATCCAATCAGAATACCATACCTCATATGAATCGCAGCGCTCATTCTTATATTTTACTAATAATTTATATTTGGAAAGTACCACAATACAATTGTTTATGCCATACTCATGTCGTGTATGAAATATATATTATTTATTCAGGGCCTGTATGTATTATCCAAATGACAGACATGCACATCCAAATCAGGAGTGATTGTTCTGTTTCAACATTGTTTTGTCGTGCCGTGTATGAGATATATTCGCCAGCGTTTATAAACGAAAGCTTGGTATATTTTACTCATCGAAAACAATAATAATAAAAATTAATAATGTTTTTATTCAAGCGACTATTGTCTTTCAGTAGTTGAAGGTAAAACTTCAACAACATCTGCCCATGACTTTTTGTTGACTATAAACAATGAAATATTGAATTTGAATATTTTTATGTATAATATAAAACAAAAACAAAAACAGAAACAAAAACAAAAACAAAAACAAAACAATAATAAACAAAACAAAAGTAAAGAAAAGAATTTTTTTACAAAAGTGGGTAATTTGCACCTTAGTCTGGTGCTAGCTTTCCGAGAACGCTTTGCTGGTTAAATTGTTTGAATGAACGTTATTTCTACTTTTGTGACTGAAAATTTAGAAAATATACTGATGACAAGTATATCTATTATTTTTGAGTAAAAAGATATGCTTTGCGATTTCCTGTTCAAATTGTTATATTTAGAACCGTATTTAGTGTTTATTAAACCAAGAGTTTTTTTTACGTAGAGTAGATCTTTTTGAAGAGTCCTCAAAGGAGCTTCCGTGTTTTTATTAAATTGTACTTCCTCGCTCTTGGGTTATTTTGCTATAAATAATACATATGTTTATATTCAAATTTTGAGTAAATTTACAATCAGCCGACACTCTATTAGTTGTGAGGATGATAAAACAGAATATTACGTCATTTCCCGTGGGCAGTTACTGCACTCGCCTTTCGCCTCAGGCAAACAGTGGACTAAATCATGACATGATGACCCTCCAGTTAATAATTGATAAATGCCAATATTCTTGGTTCAAAAATCACTATTATTTAATATATGCATTTTTATGCACTTTTCCTTAAATTTCCATGCATGTTATTAAAATATTTGTAGCAGTATATATAAAAGAATGGTCATATTTGTGGTACAGTATTCTCATCTATAAAAATGAACTACCAACTTCAGCTGTTTTTTTTAAAAAAAAGATTACTTACTAATTTTAACACCTGTCCTGAACTGAACAACGAGTAAAACTGTAGGATTAAAAAAATTACTATAGGTGTTTAAGTAATGCAAACCTTGATCAAAGATTAGTGAGCTAATTTCATATAAGAATATATCAACTTTAAAATGATCATCTACTGTATGAAGTTCATTTTACTATGTAGTTTTTCTCCAAGTATTCTAATTTTGTTTAATACCATAATTTTTTAATAATACAATAATTAGTAGTATTTTGTTAATTTTCATATAATTGTTTTGATTTGGGGACAGGGATAATGACCGCGGTTATTATCTATATTGCATATGATGTTTTATCAAAATTACTGCTCGGATTGCATCATTATATATCTAAGCAGTTTATTATAAGCAATTAGTTTACTTTTTGATTCATAAACGTCGTATAAATAGATGAAACGAACGGCTTATATAAATATTCTTGAACTGTACTTCACGGACCTGCTTTTCGTTAAGGAGTTCGGTAAATATTTAGTCTTGTGTTGAAATTTCGGCAGCAAAGCGGTCGCAGTCAAATATAAAATGCTAATTCTATTTATCTAGTCAATCACATTGGCGACATTATATGAAATTTACTTAGAAAAACATAATGCACTTATAAATTTAAAAAAAATATATATAACCAAAAATTTAAATTTAATTTTATTCATTTAAAGGGCTTTAAAGCTAATATCACAAATTTATTATTTTTCTCTTTATGATTTTATACATTGCACTTTAGTTTATATATGCATTCTTGAATGTGGGAATTCCAATTCAACTGGGAATGCCCAAGAAGGGAATGCAATAATTTTAGAATGATGAATCTAATAGGAATCCTTCGTGTGTGTGATAACCGGCTTTACAATTGATGGTTGTGTCTTTAGATTGGGTTTCTGGTTTCTACAATTTCCTTTTTGCTGATTCATAATGGAAATACTGTAAATTTTATATCATGGTGATTATGTTTCTCTAAATAGGAAATTGCGATGTCAAATAATTGACTTCTCGAAGGAGAAGTTTATGTTTTCATCAAAAAATTCGATTCGCTAATTTTATGTTTTCTCGACGTTTCAAGCCATTCTGAATCGAATGAGACCAAATTTGGAAAAAGTATGTGTGTGTGTATGTGAATAGATTTTTTGCTGTAAATCGACGTTTTCTCAAAAACGGCTGGTCTGATTTCATAAATCTAAAAGCCATTCGATGTATCTCGATAAGCACTATCATTTGCCATTTTTGCGCTACGATCTGCCGAGCCGTTTCTTAGATTTAAAATTAGACCTTTCTAAATTAGACGATTTACTTGGTATAACGATAGAGTACTTGGTCTTAATGAACATACTAAACCATTAAAGTCCTACGGAAACTGGTTCAGTTATAAAAATTGTTGATTTTTGAAAAATTGATTTTAGAGAATATTCCGAGTTAACGTGTTTGTTCTTTTCCATACTTTAATCACTCATAAATTAATTAATTTTTTATTGATTAAGTCGATTATTTACACATATCGGGAAGTTCATGTAACTTGCCACAAGGCAAAATACCAATACCAACTAGTTATTTTATTTTGTTATAAGTTTGATAAAATATTCATGATATTTACTAGCAACTTATAGAAAGTGCACTTACATGCGTGTATTAGTTTTTAAAATAAAAATAGTCTTTTTCAGCATTGCCGCTTCTAATGAAAAATCATCAGTATAAGAGAAATTTTAATAATTAATTATAACAAATATAGTTCAATTGCTGGGTTCTTTTATAAATAAAGTATTTTAAATAAGTAGATCATAGGAGTCTAAAGTTTTGATTGCTGTTCCAGAGAAAAAACCACATTCTCATTAGTACTTACAATTAGTTCTAAAAGACTTCAGGAAGTTTTTGTCAATATTGAGAACAAATTTTATATTATAATATTTCTTTTTATATTTTATATATGTTGTTTTTCCATTATTTCACTTTGTTTGCCTTTTACTTACTTTTTCTTTCATTTTTTCGTTCACTTACCAAGCACCCTTGATATACAGAATCATTCAAAGGTATAAATTTTTTCGGCATCATTATGGGAGAAAAATGCACCCTCTTTTTTGATAGAGGAGTTGCAGATGGGTTTTTCATGCATCTCGGGATTTCGTTGGATCAGGTTTACTTTACATTGTAATGATATATGACTCTCTAAGGAGTGAAAGGAAGGAATATCGTGCGTGATCAGAAAATTGATGAATTGCCTTATAGTATGTATCATGTCGATTGAAGTAATTTTTTTATTAGCCTTTTTTACTTCAAATTTAAATGCAAACCACTTGAATGATAATTTGAATAAAACCACTTGATATTATTAAAAAAAAATCCACATTTATATGAAATAGGTAATGAATAGGTATGTATGATATATACCAGATGTTCTTTACAATATAATTTTATATAACGCAAATTTCTGAATACCGGGTATTTAACCAATTTTAATTCTATTATACAATTCTCAGGTATTTTAATTTTTAAAATTATTTGATTTCCAGGTAATCAACGTGGATGATCTTCTAGCATGCCATGAAGATTTCGTAGAAGCAACTTTAAAGAATTGTATGATCACAGACACGGCGCTTTTGAGGATTATTTCTCGATTGTGTGCAGTTTGCATCGAGTTTTGCGATTTTATGCAGGTAATAATAATAACTTATTTATTCGATTTTAAATTTGATTGATTACCTGAAAAAAATCTCTATAATGGGATGGTAAAATGATTCAGAACTTTTAGACTTTGATAAATTGAAAACCAATTTTACAAAATCTTACTTATAATTAGATACAATATTCTAGTACCCAATTGGTCATGATAGAATTATTCAAAAAAAAAAAAATATACTTGAGATTTTATAATGAAACATAATATGAACTGGCAATATTTTGTATATTGCTAAATATTTTTTATTTCAATCAACATAGTTTACTCTATTATTTGGCTCAAATAATCTTAAAAATGTCACAATATACCGTAGATTTTTTGAGCCTAATAATAAAATAATATTAATTAATTAATATTATTTGAAGAATATTTGATAGATCATTGTCATCATATGACATAATCACAAAAATACATTACCAAAGAGTACTTCACGCTTTTCTGAGTAAATAGATGTGAGATCATTTTATGCAATTTCATTAGCACTTCTAATATAATTAGAAGCTTAAATATTTAATTACTTATTAGAACATACATTGACAATAATGGTCGATGTTTTTTTAGTCTATAAATATCTTTTTACTCTACTTCAATTTTAAATGTAGTATTACAAATAATATTAAATATTTTTCAAACAATAGCATTATACTGGGTATATATATATTAGGGTGGTCCTTAATATGGACATTTTGGAATTTCTTTGTTACAAGGCCTCAATTGTTTCCAAATTGATAAAAAAAAATCTCTAATAGTTTTAGCTCCTAATATTAACTTTTAGATAGTGCGCAATTCAATCAAAGTTTTGTATGGAATTAGCATGGCAAAAAATTCAAAAAATTTAAAATGTTTTCACATATAACTTAGCGAACAAATAAATGAGTTTTATTGAAAATTCGACGCTCTACAAAACAAAATATAAGAAACCTGTTTTGCAGAGCGTGAAATGACACGAATTGCCACTTTTAATTCACTTGTCGCTAATAAGTTATACCTAAAAAACATTTTTAAAATTTTCAAAATTTTTCCCATGCTAATTCCATACGAAATTTTGATTGAATTGCGCACTATCTAAAAATTAATATTAAAATCTAAACTTTTAGAGATTTTTTTTATCAATTAGGAAGTATTTTGGGCCCCTGGGAGCAAGAAAATTCAAAGATGTCCATATTAAGGACCACCCTAATATACATCTACAATTTATATTATAAATCACTTTCATCCAATATGCCAAATTATATTTTTATTTTTATAAATTTTAAAGGAGCAATGTGCTTACGTTGCTTTATGTACATCAAGCATTTTGGTCACAATTTTGCAGCTATATTAATTATATAAAATATTATATTTATATTTTGTATTTTATGAGGCACTTTTGCGTTCCCAGGTAAGTTTTGAATGTAGACTGATATTTTAATAATTTTTCTACCGAAATGATTACTATATGAGGTTTGTACCTTATACCTTACCATTTACATGGTGGTGCCGATTTTGAACGATTTTCGAATTTTTTTTACTTTTCGTGGATATGGATGTGTAAACGATTTTGTGTCTATTATTTCGATATGGGGTTGATTTAATAATGATGCAGGAAATGCGCCAGTATTATGTGGATGCAGAATTGACTTCAATGTTGACCACCTCTGTTTGCTCGATGTCCGACAGTATCACCGACAATTCAATGTGCTCCTCTACAGGGTACTTTAGTACCCTAAATAAGGTATCCGTAGCACGGATAGGAGCATATGCACGAGATTTTTTTTTGTTATAGCCAAAATTACCTGGACTAATAAAAATGAAAAAATTAAATACTACCTAGTACCCAGAAAATGATTCATAATTGTAATAATAATTTCCTATTTGTTATTACTCGTATGGGTAATTATTTCGACGAAATTTGAAATTTTGAAAAATATATTTTTTATAAGTTAATATAATTATTTGCATTGTATCAAAGACTGTCTGATAAATTCTGCTTATTAAAAAAATCATTTTTTATAGTCTGGGTGATAATCTCGCTCGTCACGTGCTGGCTTGAAAAATGCACGGTTGTCATTTTGTCGCTAATTTTTATCATTTTTTTTGATTTTGCAGATATCTGGATGTTGTTTTAATTTTGATTAACATGCACATTTTTGTCATAATTTATATAATTAATTCACCATTAAAAAATTCATTTGGCTTGTTTTCAGCTTTGTTTTTTTCACTTAACCATATTATACACTTCTATCGTTTAATTTCGAGTCAAGAATAGATATGAGAAATTTATTGAAA